CCAGCTTGAGACTCATCTGAGGAAAATGCAGGGGAATAACCCATGTTCCACCTCGTCCACGCATTAGCTTCCCAAAATGTATTTGATATTGTGAAGAACTCATTTATACTCCTGTTCCAGTACATAAATTAATGGTTATGATGCTTCATTGAAATGATCCTTATTTAAAAAAAGCATGATCCAACTTGATTTCAAATTTGGCGTTCATAAGAAACGTGCAGATTTTGAAACAATGGGGGTGAATTGTGTTAATATTTAGAAAATATTCTTACTGCTTTGCTCTCAGTTTAGTAAATATTTATGATATAATTTATACAATGTAATCTCAGTGAATTAGATAATAGCAAGGCTAGCAAATTCTAAGTACAACAAAGAGCATATATGTGCCCGCAGGAGAAAAAGCTCCAAATAAAGAAAAGGTTTCATTGTGTGCACTAGCAGGCTATCACAAACCATTATTCACCATAAACAATTCACACATAACGACAGAATAAATTCTGCATCCTTGGTCTCATTTCACTAAAATAACAAAAGGTATAGAGAATATATCTTTTCTTAATGGCCAAATAATCTAGTCCCCAAGGCAAATTGACTGGAAGAAATAACTTACCTGCAACACAAATTAAAAAACATTGATACTAAAAAGCAAAGGCACTAGCTGTGTAACGCATCAAATATTTATTCAAACCTCTTTGTAGTGTTGTCTCCCGCATGCAGATCAAACATACTAGGCTTTACTAAAAGATGGTATTTGCACCAGGTTACATATGCAACATTTAAAAAAAACCATATGAATAAATTTTACAGATTTTAATAAAGTAACATGATTGTCATTCTAACACACACTATCAACACGAATTTCACACAGCGTGTAGTTAATTAATGTTGTGTGCTGCAGCTCTGACCCGGTGGTGTACAATCTATAATTATACATCCTCCTATATATCATCTGCTCTCAGCTATGGTTTCATACAGAAGACAGGCAGCTGCAACACAATATCCCCGCTCAACCTGAAGACCATCTGACTTTAATTGTAGCACACAGCTTGATGTAGCTCTGGTCATTTGAAGCCAAAGTATCACACCGTAATAATCTATACGGCAGGAGCCTGCCAAGTTGGGGCTATAAACACTGGCTTGGGCTGTCTGGCTCTGTGACGGGCTGCAGGAAATATGATTAATGAGTATGGTATAATGATATCAGGAACCCGATTAGCACCACAAAAGGTCATAGATCAAAGTAGTGTGCATTTCATGAACTGCAATCATTGTGTAAATTTTTATTGGCAGATAGAATTAAACCAAAGAGTTAAAATCTGTGTGTCTGTTTATTTTCCAGAAAAGGTACAGAGGTAAATGCAAGTAATCTTTGCTTATGACCTGATATCTTGAAAATCTGTAAAGAAGAGACCTGTGCAACATGCACAAATATCTACCTTCTCCGCACACACCGAGAGAATGTTTAAAGAACATTCTGGAAACCGTTCAGAATTGCAGTCAAAATATTGTGCACAAAAAGGAACACGAGACATGCCAATGTCATTGCAAAACAAAAAAAAATCTTTGCTCATTGTTTAGAAGGCTTACACAGAGGATATTTGGCAATCACCAATGGGATAAGACAAGCATGCAATGAGGAAATCGAACTTCAGAACCAATGAGTGTTGAAGTCAGGAATTGGTCATGGCGGTCATGTTTATGAGCGGTATAAATATCGTAAACCATATAAATGTCTCAGTGCTAACACTGCCATTTTACCACTGCTACAGACACTGCACTACACCTGACACAAGATGGCTTTCAATACAATCCTTTGCCACATTAACCCTTACCATGCTAGGCACAAATTTGCAATTGGCTGCCATGTTTCGCCCACAAATATAGTCAATTCACTTTACAGTCTATTCTGTGAAGCGCTTTGAGACGTTTAGAAGACGTGAAAAGCGCTATATCAAATCCAAGAATTATTATTATTATTACCCAGTGGCAACCCCTTGAGATTTGTAGCATTTTTGTAACATTTCTTTCAAGCGTGAGGCAGGAACGGAGAAGGAAACCTTTCAAGCTACTTTTCAGAAAATATAAAATAACAGTTAAAATAGAAGTAGGGGACAGAGAAGTAGAGAATCGAAAAATAGGGAAAAAAATAATTTCCATTTCAAAAAATATATATACACTTTGTTTGGCAAATGAATCTTCAATCTTTTCTCCTCCAAATTTCTCCCTTTCTGAAGCTGAGGTAAAGTTCCTCAGGCACCAACAACACCTTGGTCAAGTGGACCTCCTCACATGTGAATCTGGACAACCTATTTCAGCAGTGGCAGTGAATTTCGACAGCCTATTTGTCCATAGGTGGCAACAAAGCTGAGACTGACCCCCTCCTCATTCAATATTTGACAAACACTCCCAGAGATCACTAGATAGTAATCAGAAGCAGAGACCTGTGCAGATTATTTACTCCCTAATCTAGGGGTGCGGAAGCCAATTATCGTCAGTCTACTACCACTCTGTTTGAGATCAATTTACTGAGCTCAGACTGGTGATGAACATGGGGCCTTAGTCAAAACATAATTACATTTATTCGCAAATCTGCAAGATGGGAATTAAATGGACAAAACGTATATCACCGTATCTTCTGAATATAAAGCAATTCTCACAAAAATACGTATTCTCGTGGCCCTTATCAACCTCCTCCTCTCTCCCAATCTTTTTTCATCAGGACAGTGACCCTTTAACCTATCAAGATGGCACATTAGTGTTTACAGATGCACACTGTAAAAACAACTCTCAGTGCTCACATTTGGGAAAGTAGGCCATTGGCGAAGACAAGAAAATCAAGTAACAACTTTGATGAAAATCCTCAAAAGCAGTTCTAATAGAGCCAACTCTACATTTAGAGTTAGATTTCATCCCAGTGGCTCCTGACACACTGTTCCAAAAGTAAACCAGTGAAGTGTGAAGAAAATGTTGCATTGTAATACAACAACAATAATAACTTGCACTTATATCGTGGGCAGCAATTTAGTGGGGAAAAATGGATGGACAGTGATCATCATGACAAAACAGTGCAGAGGGTCAAATAAAGATAAAACTCCAACAATATGAAATCTCTGCACTTCATTCCATGTTCATAAAATAATCATCTCTTCCAGTAGTGTCATTTAAGGTTCAATTCTGCAATTAACCAGTAGCACAAATCTTTACACTGTCATTCTGCTCAGTGTCTCTATGCTGCTTAAAATGACATGCATACACATATGTGTTAGTTAGTGAAGAGTGGGCCACTGATTTACATCTAGAGGTGTAAGAAAAGAGAATTATTTTGGTGTCAACAGACTCTACTAGACATGGAGGAACACTCTTGTCCTTTCATTTCATGATAAATCTGGGATAATAAAGTACTGTGCTCTCCCCCAACATTTACTTTTGAATGTAACCAGAATGACCAATAACCATCAGAAAGACTTCAAACATTGCAATTTCATACTAGGAATTTACTTGCTGCTGCTTATAGCTTGTAGAGCAAAAATTATCATTGAACTTGGCTTCAACCAATCTCGTGCCCCAAACCACGGCTGGGATCAAACCTCTTTCTTTGCAGAAAATGGGCATATTCCATATTTTCTTTGTGTTGTCTCACTTGCCTTCACTTGTCCTGATGCATTTATCCATTGCAAATGATTTTTGCTGGAATTCATTTCTTTCAGCTAAATGGTGTGATCCCCATGAAATATAAACTCGTTTAGCTTCCTAAATTAAGGATTTTCTTATTAGTTCAATAAATCTAACTCCCCTTGATAGAATATTGCAGAATTTTGTATTATTATTCTTTCTCATGATACAGAAGTATAGTTTAACAAGAATATCTACGTTCTAGGTATAGGTAAATGAAAAACACGTGGGTGCTCCCATGCAGAGGTTTAAAAAAACTCAGTACTCAAAGCTTTGAAGTAAATTCCACAGACATTCTTTCAATAATGATGACAATTATTTACTGTCATACACAGACCGAAGCGATCACCACAAAACCCGACCACATGCCGTCATTCTTATCCATTCATTAGTTCACTCAATTGAAAAACAGTGTCAAGCAAACAAATCGCTGTATTTAAAAATATCTACTTGGAAACATGAAGAAAACATAACACTTGACCTCCTTACACTGACAAACACTAAGAACTTATGCAAAACATTTATTCTGTTTTAATTAATTTTGCCAAAATTCCCAATTTATTACAATTTTCTCTTTTTCCCCTTTCTCACAAAAACACAAGGCTGTTCAGCAGCCAAATGAATAGTTTGCCATATCATGTTCTTAAGTAACATCCTGGAAGGAAGGGAAAGGAGGGGAGGAATCAGAAATATGAGGTCAGATGGAGCCTCTCAAAGGGGACTCTGATGGCACACAGATGCTCTCCAGAAAACACTTGCAGTAGCTGAAAATTTCTCAGAAGCTCGTAAGCCATCTTCTTTCTGGGGTTCTAGTGCAAGCACTGTTCTGCACTGACATCGGAACAGGTGTTTCAAGTGGACAGACTACTCAGTTCTCAAGTCAACAAAAAGAATACTAAGCCAAGTAAGAAAAATTTGGTGATGTGGACTTCAAGACTTGGAAAACTAACAGCATCCAATCCTATATCAACTAACCCGATGGGAGTTTTAACAACTGCATTTTGACATTGAAGGTTTCCAATTTCCACCTTAGTGGATTTTTTAACATTCACAAAATAAGCTGAATAAAGATTAAGTTTGCCTTTTATATGTTGCTGTAACAGACCTCAATGTAAATAAAACTTCTTGAGAGAAATAAGTCAAATGCACACCAGCACAGGACACTATCCCATAAAGAGCAAAGCTTGAAGCTTTCCTTTTGAGCATTTCTATAATGCTGTTTTTTGTAACTTTTCTACTAGATGTCAATATTCTAGGTTGTGCACTATTGTCTCTCATCAAGAAACTTACACTTGATCAACATTACAGAAAAAAAATACATCTCTTACCAGTCTATTTATACGAATAAACTCTTCTGGAGCTTTGGCCCATGGCGGAAGTTCTACATCCGAGACTACAGTTCCATCATCCATCACGCCCAGATTGTAATTGTTTGAATTGACAAACATCTCCGGAAGATAATAAAATTCAGGAATCAGCTCCTGTGTAAGAAATAAATGATCATCCATTTTACTAAAGCCAGACTACTTTATCATAACCAATTTACTGTTGATATATAAATATGTCAAAATTATTAAAATTCATAAACATAAACTTTTCAATTTAAGTAACCAATCATACTATATTAAGAGGTGCTCATTTTAATAATTTAAATCCTGGGAGGTGATCAAATCTTTGTTAACGGTTGTGAACTCAGTTTTTGAGCACTAAAGGAATTTACCAATTGCTATTTCAATAGAATGGACTCCTCCAGTTCAACAAAGATGTATTTGAAAACAGTTTAGTAAATATATCCACTTTCACAAGAATATGTGAACGTTGCTTCACTGTAGTGTTCAGTGCATTATTGGCAAACATTTACACAAAATACACAGAAAAACACGAAAAAAAGATTGTTGAGGAGCCTGTGCCAAATTAAGCGAGAACCATCAATACTAGGAAAATATTAAATCGTCAGAAAACATGGTCATTAGTGAATCTAAGCCAGCAATCCATTTGACTTCGGATTATTAATATAAATTATTTTGAAGGAAAAAANGAGAAAACAAGGTACATTACTTGGGTCAAAAATAACTAGGAGTTCAACCAATCATAACTAGGAATTTGGAGGTAAAAAGGAAGTGACATAATTCAAGTTGTAATACACTGTACTCAGAGGGTTCTAAATCAAAGCATGAGAACTTAAAGATACTCTGGTGGTACATCTGCTACCTCTAATAAGGCTATTTTGTCAGAAGTCGTCAAATTACCAGGAAGAACACCACAACATTTTTCCATAGTTATGGACCTGCGCCATATTTTTATGACTTGTCATGTTTATCGAGAGATTGAACAGTTTGATATCATATTTCACCCTAGCTAACCCATTAAAATGTCCACCTTCTACAGGCTCTGCTAATATTTTATTTCAGTGTCAAGCATTAAATTATAGAAGATGGTCTCTCTTTGCATAAACTAAAATCGGCACAAAATACCTAACCATTCTTTTTTAAAAAAGCATGTGCATCTAGTTTTAGCTGCGTTTTCTGAAGGATATAAAAGTTTATGCTACTTTGGTCATCTAAAGTATTGGTAAAAAATGTGAAACATGAATAATTTTCACATGCCCTTTCAAAACACACACTGTGACCTATAATTGAGAACAGAAAACACAAATTAAGTTTGTCTATTTAATTGACTGCACAAAGCAACAATTAACTACTGTATTGTTGTGCAACGTGCAGTAATGTTATTAGTTACTATGGAATATAATGCAATTCCATATTAATAACTTAGTTTTCCTGTTTTATCCCTTAAACACTTTTAAAGCCCTTCAACGTTTACCCTTCCCTACTTCACTCACTGTGATCTTACATCTAAATTATCTCACGCATTCCTGGCTAAAACAATTAAGTGTGTTGTAGGCTATTCTAGCAACCACAAACAAAATAGGGTTAACGCACATAATTACTGCAGGATCTGAAAATCACAGCAAGTGCCTGGTGAAAAATTTGTCCGACTCTTAACAAGCACGAACCCATGCCATTTAACAAGCAGAAAAAACATAGGCCAGTCTGATGGCTATTATGTGCAGTGGCCCTATGCAGCCATGTCAGAAGCAAGTGGCTCCAATCTAAATCCCTTGTTCGTATGGGTCAGTAGATCAGTGGTTCCTGGGCACCCCTTTGGGCCACTTTCAACAGCAACAGCCGTCCAGACAACTGACAGCAACAGAATGGGTCATCAGATGCTGAGCAAGGTCAGGTTAGAGCAGTCAATGCAGAAACATCAAGGATCAAGAAAGGACTTAAAGTTGTTATCACTTCTATCCTCCAATAGACCCTGTATACTATAGTAGTGAAGATCCTTCAGAATGAATTTTCAGATTGGACTAATCTGATAAAAAGGTGAGGCTTTTAGTTCATCTAAACTCAGCAGGATTTTTGTTATATGAAAAACTAATTATCACTGGATCAATTCACTGAACTCAGAAGACAACATTAGAATTTTTGTAAAAAAAACTCTTGTTTGCACTACAGGATTTATGAGACTGATATTTATGGTGATATAATGCCTCAATCTACTGAGAACACAATCACAAGGTCACACGTTTTTCCTTCAAAAATGTATCATCATAACATTATTTTTGCAGGTCAGATTTATGACGTATACATACACTGCATTACTTGTGTTTCAATTATATAAACCAACTGTTTCCTTCTATTCATTAAGATTGCCTTTGTAAAAAGCCGAAACACTGTTCAATATTTTACATATGTTGTTTGAAAAATGTTACACTTAAAAAGCCTTATTAAATAACCAGATGTTATACTCACAATTACTTATAAAAAATAAACACACCTGATGAATACATTTATCAGGGTTGACAAGGCCAAAGTCACAGAATAACTTTTGACAATACTCATTGTTAAGGTTGCACTGGACAGTTAGTAATATAGGCAGACAAGGTCATTTAGAACAAAAAGAATCCTTAGATTTCAAAATTGTTTTCGTATTTCGATTGCACATATTACATTTGTTTATTATTACTATAACATAGAACAGGTTTGTCAGATATTAGAGATACAAGATCATTCAATTCCTCACAAATTATGTGGTTAACTGAGAACTATTGGTTGGTCGTGGAAGTCAAAGTATGTAACTGTTATAAAGGTAAAAGTAAAATGGGGCCAAACCCCTGAGGTTGTTGGAAAATAAACTGAGAGTAACTTGAATGTTGGTGCTTAAGAATTTCACTGATGCCTTTTAACAGTCTCCAAGCATTGTCCGGTGCTTCAACAAATTAAGGTAAATGTTCATGTTTCTTTTACTTTTGTTAAGATAAACAATTGGAATTACTCAAATGTGCAAATAGCAAATGTGTTGGAAGCCATAATAACAAAAGCTAAAAACAAATGGTGGGAGAGAAGGGAGATATTTTGAGGGGCAGAGAAGTGAATTTGCTTCTTTAAAAAGATCCTTGCACCTAAAGAAAATCACAATTTACATTTACATAGCGCCCTTCATGTTGAGAAGACGCCTCAAGGCAATGGAAATGCAACTGGAAGCCGAGGGTGGTGGGCAGACAGCAGATAAAGCTCATTGTTAACAAAATAAACCAAGAATTTTTTTGATTTAAAGAGGAAAGAACATCTATCAAGAGGGAGTATTTTTTGTTTAAAATACTCCCACCAATGCATGAAGATTTCTTTTTAAAAATCTATGCTTTACTTGTAGCGAGGTATTGTCACTTTTCCAAATTCAAAAATAAATAAAATAATAAGAATAATTTGGTCACTCAATCCACGACTGTTTGTGGTACACTGCTGTGTGGAATTGGCTGCTGCGTTTTTTCTACAAAATATACAGTCAATCCACTTTACAGTATATTCTGTGAACGCTTTGAGATGTCTCAAAGATGTGATATGGTGCTACGTCAAATGCAAGGATTATCATTATTATTTCCTGAGAATGTTCTTCTCCATTCCAGTTTGCTGATGTACTATATGTTATGGCATGTATCAACATGTGCCCTAGATCAGCTCCATTGAGTTTTGGACCAGGGTCGGTGACAACCCAGAGCTACCAGAGTCAAGGAAGTAACAGTACAGAATAAGTATTCTTCCAGTTTCTCTTGTACTATATTTCACCCACAAAATACAGTCAATCCACTTTGCAGTATATCCTGTGAAGCGCTTTGAGATGTCTCAACGACGTGATAAGGCGCTATATCAAATGCAAGGATAATTTACTCCATGTTCCCTGGATCAGCCAGCTTGCACTTGGCACTCTGTCCAAAACGTCTGTCTGTATTAGACACCGCTTGAAAGTCAAGAGGGCACCAACCTGTAAAACGTGTATAGCTGGTGTAAAATATATTCTACCAACAGACAGCCCAGGTTTTGTTCAGTGACATATTTATCGGGGTGTTATTTCTATAGGACCCAGCTAGCTTGGATTTTTTGGCTCTTTTCATAGTGAGTAAGCATTCCACGCCATCAGAACGAATCAGCATTCACCTCAGTTTTAAACAGAGCAGGAAGAAATTAAATATTGATTTCGACACTGGGGCATCTATTCTATAACTTGTGTAAACTATATGTTTACACAGAGAGAATTACAGATGCTCTTAAATATGCAATTAATGACAAATGGAAAGAATTATAGAATGACCCTTGTGATTAGCTGTGACCAGGTGAACAGATAGTTTTTCCTTATTTAGTCCATCCCTAGTAAATTTGACATGGTCATTAGTATACCATTACATCAAGTGGGAGATATAAAATGTTTTCAAAATTGAGATCATCTCTCAGATTCTTGGTCTGATTGATTTATCAAGGAGCATGGCTTGTTTTTGACTACATCCTTGCTGGTAGGAATTGCAGCATTGTGGTAAGGTTTGCAGAGCAGTTGGAATTCTAACTGCTTACAATTTCATTATCTGACGATAACATTTCTTCCTAAACAGTCTGTGTGAAATAAGGAATCTAACTGAACAATTTCGTAGCATGAAAGGCTCACCCAGCTAGGACTGTCCTATTTGTTAAGTTGGAGGGTTGCGAAATATATTTACACCTCATTCACCATAGAGTAACTGCGCTTTGACAAGCGTGTCTCCTCAGAAGAGGTTCAGCCCCATGGAGACTCTGCTTACATTCCCTCTCAAGATGTAGGAATTCCAAATAGCTATGAAATAAATTCTGCTTCCTATAAAAAGGTTTTGTTTGGATTTGCTATCTATAAGGAAGGGGTTTTCATGTTCGTGTTTGCGAGATTTAGTCATCCGGGCTTTTACTCTGCTTTAAGTCAAATAAAGTGAAATTGGGTAGTGTAACAACATACAGGAGGTTAACAGATATCTGTTTCAGAAGACAAGGATGTATATTCTGCAATATTGTTTCCTTATGGCTTTTTATTTTATCTCAGCCTCTATCTTCAGGATCTTGCTGGTATTGTCTCATGTTCCAAAGGGACAGACCATTGAATATGATAGTTATAACTTTGGCATTGATTAAACTGCAGACCCATCTGCTTGGAGAATGTGCATTTAATGTTGATACCTCCTCTTCTTTCTTATCCTCTGCCAAGATCTACACCTATTGTAAACTTGTGAGGCTAGAGGAAAGCAATCACATGTCATAGTCACTGATGCTGTCTATCTACAGAAGGTAGTTTTATGTTCCCAACTTTGGCAAAATAGTTAGTGTTGTGAGAATGGCACTACCAGAATTACATCAGTGGGCTCATGATTAACTAAAGGGTTAGGCGTTTCTAATTCTGCTGATTAACACAATACATTTTAGTGAAAAAACAATTATCTTTAATTGAATATATATTCAGATCGTGGATTAAGGATAAAAAAATTCTTGAGAACAAAAGCCTAAAATAGACAATGTACTGACTAAAGGAAAATATGAACGTGTCTCTTCCTCACAGGGGCGATCAAATGCAACTCGTGTGAATAACAGGAGCAAAGGAACAGAAAATGCTTAAACCCTGTGTGTGGGAGGTGGAGGAAAAGAAAGATTAAATAGGACATGGAAATGGGAAATCACAGGAATTAGGACTAAAGCCTCTTAAAGGGACAGGCGGTTTCTGACTGACACACTAATTGCTTGACTGACTCATGGGATTGTTGAGGATAACTAATGAAGATAAACTGGTGGTTCTTAATGAGACCAACATCTTTTGCTTCGTTTTCCAGGCCACACTATGCATAATTATTTGAAGTGATCTATTCCATTGAAAATTCATGTTCAGCAAATAGTAGCTGAATAAAAACAGCAAGAGCAGAAAGTGGAAGATTAATTGTCAGGTCAGGGACCAGCAGTAACTCTTGGGCACACAAAAGTGAAGCCAGTCAGCATGAAGGTGCTTTAAGACTTTATAGATTAATGTTACTGCATCTACCTCTGACCTCCCTTGTCTTTGCTCTTCCTAAAATAAGTCAAAGTTTAAATGAAGATATGGATGTTGTGTGAAACAAAATGTGCACTAGGTTGGGTATGTACAATTTAAACAAGCGATTAAGGGTGAAAGGTGTACTAATAATTTGTTCTAGTACCTCAATTAATATATTACTCTATTTTATTTCAGAATATGTCGTAATGTTTCAAATTTGTAAAGCCCTGAGGAACTTCTAGAATCCAATAGAAAGTCGTGACTGGACCAGATTGGATCAGAATAAACCAAACTGAATATCAGGCAAGACCTTCATCAACGATTTTCAGTCAATCATTCCTGAAGGATGAGAGGAAAGAGAACAATGGAGATTTTGTTTTTTTAAATTCCATATTGAGCAACACTTTTAATTTAGTGGTGAGGCAGAACAAAAAGGGAACATTCTGACACCTACAAATGAAAAGTTGTTCAACAACAATTTACATTCAAAATGGGGGGGACGTCTTAAAACGCTTTGCACAACCGACCAGGAGTCCAGGGGGGTGGTAGGGTAGGCCGAGACAGGTCTTAAAGCAGATTTTGAAGGTAGGGAGGGAATAGGCAAAGGTGGGACTCCAGGATGGGGTTCCAAGAGAAAGAGTTAGAATGGGTGAAAGCTTGTCCATCTAATGTAGAGTGGTGCAGGCTGACAGCGTGATGCTGAGCAATATTTGTTGATCAGAGAGCACGGTCGAGCAGTAGGATTACAAGAGATCACTGAGGTTGGGTGTGATGAGACTATTGAGGCATTTGAAAACGAGGATGAGAATCTGGAATTCGATCTGTTGAGCGATAGGGGGTCAGCGGAGCCGAGCAAGAATGCAGGTAATGGGCTCACGGATACTATACATTGTGTGGCTCCGCTTTCCCTTGAATGCCAAGTTCAGTACCAGATTTCAAAACAAATCTTCAACTGTCTAGTACCTTGAGATGTCCTCCCGACTTGAAAGGTGGTATACAAATGTAATTTGTTGTTGTTGTTGTGTTGTAGGGAAGAGGGGAAGAGCAAAGAGGGTGAAGTCATGTAAGATAAAATCTATTATACTGGTTACTGTGCTTAAACACTATTTATGAAAAAAATCCAGTTGTTTTAAAATTTCATCCCACTGATTTATGTATGCAATTAATTAGAAAAACAAATTCAGAGTAACCAAAGATTATCTGTGTAAAACAGGAACAGATCTACAATTCTGTTCATTTCATCTTTATTGGCAAATCAATATAATTCTCATTTATATGAATTTGATCCATCAGATTGTTTTTGTGAACTGCATTGCTCCTATATTCCTTAAACCCGCAACACAAATTCTTTGCAAAACTCCCACTGAGAAGGAACACAAGAATATTTTCTTAAGGCTTGCTCGAATATGGATTCTAGTCACAGTTCTAAAAACCTTACAACCGATTATGTTTTATGTTTAGGATGAAAAACATGACACTGGAAAAATACCATGTGTTTTGGATTTAAGTAAAAGCAAGAGTAGATACTTTATGGTAAAATGAAAAATTAATTGACTTTTTTTAGGAAACAGGGAGACTCTTGTCAACTCCACATCTTTCAAATTTAGGAAAATATTACAGACTAAGGCAACATTCATTACAAAAAAAAGCCCCAAAGTAAAATACCATTAAAAACAATTAATTTTAATTTGTTAAAAGAAACTACTACTTGAACATTCACAAAGGTTCAAACAAAGGTTATATCCCAGTACAGCAATGTAAGGATTAGGCCTTTGCTTTGATCATGAACCCCAAGGCTTTCATAGCATGAAGACATGAATTGGTTGTGACCACACATATGCTTCAGCTTTCTTCATTAAAGTGCGATACCTACTGGCATGAACTCTCTCCGCAGCCAATTCATGTGATTCTCTGCAATGTTGATTACCCTCGGCCTCCAGGCAAAAGCAGCTAACTGATATTTGAACAAATCAAAATAATCAATCAAGAAAGCCTTTCGAAAAGAAAAAGATCACAGAGGATTCTTCCTGGTGTTGTTACCCTCGCATAAACTGGATATTCCATATACTCGGAAATAAACAGGCTGTGTCAGGGAAAGACACCAAATGTGCTAAATCCATATGGCACTTTAATCTACAAATAAACCTCACAATGGACAGCAGATTGTCGCTCTGAAAACATGAATGCAGATAAACAGATCACTTTCACATCAATAATAATAATCCTTGCATTTGATATATATAGAACCTTATCACTTCTTCAAGACGTCTCAACGCGCTTTGCAGAATAAACTGTAAAGTGGAGTGACTGTATATTTTGTGGTTGAAACGCGGCAGACAATTGCGCACAGCACTGTCCCACAAATAGTCATGGAGTGAGTGACCAAAATTATTATTTTTTTGAAGGGAAAAAACAAAATCCCCCCCAAAAAATCAACCACACTCAACGTTTTAATGAAATTGTTTTCTGCTGTTCAATTCACTGAACCATTTATATTTATACAGCACCTTTCACATCAGGAAGACATCTCAAAGCACTTGACACACGTGATTGGAAGCCTGATATAGGGAGCCTGATCAAATCAGAGGCTTACTCCTAAACTGTTAGATGATGATCCAATATTGCCAAAATACATACTGTCATATGTAAACACCAGTTGTATTATGTGCCGTGTGTAAACACCTGGACAGAGGGAAGTACAGGTGCCCTTAATTATCTAATACCCAATGAAAATAATTTATTAATTATGTAGTTAGAAATGATAATCCTTATATTTGATAGAGTGACCTGTGAGGTCCTCAAGACGTCTCAAAGTGCTAAAATCCTTTTCACTGGTTGTTAATTATGTAATAAGGTACCTGAAACTCACTCTGCATTTACACATGGTGCAAAATATAGTTGGGTTTACGCATCATTTTATACAGGTCCCAATTTTTTCCGACTATCGTCCTTAGATCATTGATTATCAGCTGCACTTAAGAAACCATATACCAGGCAGTTTGGTAGGAGAACTGTATATTTGTTCATATCCCTACAATCCTGAGTTGCTTGATACCCCAATCTATCAGCTTCATATAGGAACATAGAAAAAGGACGAGACAATTTGGTTTATTGAATTTTCTTAGATCAAGGCTGATCTGTAACTCAATACCATTTGCCTGCCTTTTCTCCATAACCCTCTGATAAACTTCCTAACCCTTTAATTTTAGCACTGTTTACAGCACAGTTCTACTGTGGACCTGCACTGACTGGAAATGCAGCACATCTGGCTTCTTGCACGTACTAGCCTGTTTCCCACCCGATAAAAAATGGGGGTGGTCAGATCACCATGAATATCACTTGCTGCACATTGCATGCATGTGTCAGAAGCATCCACAATGTCCCTTCCTGTGCTAAGTGACGTTCACGGCACTTCCTGCACACAGTGCACGACCTACAGGATGTGATCACAGCGATGACTAGACAACCTCAGAAGTCAGACATTTTTCACCCTCACTTAGAACACTGAGTCTGGAACATTGGACCCAACCACCACACTATAATGAGGTTTCTTTCTGTAAGTTGAAATATTAGAAATGGGATTTAACTGAGCATAAAACGGATATCTATATGAAGACTCAAAAAGCCTGAATGCTATCTCTACACAATCTGATATTTGATCATAATTAACTTACACAAAAGAATGCATCCTCTGCCACCTAAATACACACACCTGAAGCTTGGGTAGGTTCTGATAAATGCACAAGAAACTGATGGCTCTGTCTTTATGAATGTTTTACTCTTAGAACCAATTAGCTTTCTTTCTTCATATTAGCACAGGACAATTTCCTATGGAAACGAGCACAGATTCTTTCATACCTTTACATCAGACGTATCTCGCTGGCAGTTGCGCCACGCTCTGGACACGGAAGAGAAAGTTCTGTCAGCGTGATCAAACTTCCCTCCTTGTAGATTTAGAAAGAAGGTGGTAAATGGTTCCTGCGCAGGACAAGATATAATAGAGTAACATTGTTAATAGTCTACCATGCAATATTTATTACAGAATATCATGATTAATTTCCTCAGTTGTTGAAAAGACAAACTGATGATATCTGACCTCAGTGAAAATTGACACAAGTGGAGAAGTCAGTTTACAGATGTTCTCCACAGCATGTCTGACACACATCAACTTGCTCAGTGTTGCGGCCTCAAAGGTGCAATTTGCCTTATTTGGTGTCTTACATTGCAAAACAAACTTCTCCCAGTTAATTCAATTTGAGGAATTTACACCATCACCTTCAACAGCCTGGCTGAGAATGCGCAAAATCTAAAAACTAGCCACGGGTGAAATTCAAATTCAGGTCCAAAGTGGTACAGCTCAGTAGAATTATACATTCTGTCAACTGAACTCCATTCTGTTCCACCCTTGCAACTGCTGAAAATATGAATGTAGTTGACAACAGCAGGAATGAAAAATTAGTAAATGTGAGATTTTAATGTATTTTGTTTAAAAGATAAATTTTATCTACATTAACAACAACTTAAACAACCAATTGCATTTATATAGTGCCTTTCACGTTGGAAGGACATCCCAAGGCACTAGACAGTCTAAGGTTTGCTTTGGGACGTCCTCCGGACGTGAAAGGCGCTCTATAAATGTAATTTTGTTGTTGTTTGTACTAGAGCTGCCGGTTGGAGTCAAGAGGGGTGGAGGGGATGGCGGTGGTGGTGAGAAGATGACCAAAGGCACGGTCAAAGAGGAAGGTCTTTAGGCAGATCTTGAAAGAGCCAAGGAAGGGGCAGGACAGTACCCGCTGAGCGGAGGGAGCGATAAGGTTTTAGGTCACAGAGGTGAGGCAAAGCAAGATGGTGGAGGGTTTTAAAGATGAGGCCAACGATATTAAACTGAATCCTCTTGGGCATGGGGAGCCAGTGAAGCCAGGCGAGGATGGGGGTGATCAGCTCACGGAACATAGTGAGGGATTTTAAATATTATCTTGGGAGTATGCAATGTGGAATATCAATCAGCTACATCCATTGGCTGCAAATTATATTATTGTGAGCTGTTACACAGTAAAAAAAAGGCAAAGGAAAGGTCAATTTATTTAGTCTCCTGGAAAGTGACTAACCACAGGTAAAACTGCTAAGTAGTTAAAGCTCTATGAAATATTTTCCTTCCTCTCTCTCCCACACCAACCCCACTGAGAAAACCAATCCAACATCATAATATATATTGGTCATCTGTGACCAGTTGCATTTCAGAGATGACATTTGAGAACTACAGCTCTGAGTTTACAACATACCTTAACCTCAATCTCAGAATATCACTCCTCACTACATCAACATTTCCCACTGCAGCGAGTCACCCTCAGATGGTTAGTTCAGTTCTACATAATGACTACATTTTATTCTGTGAACCTGTGCACAATAGGATCCGGTTTGAGGCTGTCCAAACTAAGGCACCTTACAACCAGTAGAGCAGTGAGATGTTCATCTGGTCAATACGAGGTGGAGTCAGACCCTTTTTATTCTTTGCAAACTGCAACAGTAGCTTTCATCAAACAGTTATCAAAACATAACTATGTCTTATAGAGGCATCACATGCTTTATATCTGAAAGTTCATCGTTATAATCCAACACATAGATAAAAAAGCTGATTCAGGTTATGGTTTATATACTGTCAGAAATGACATTCCAACAAAAATAATTCTCTTAACAGGCTCCTTCATCCTTAAAACACATCATTTAACCTCACACCCTCAGTCATATCAACATTTTCATGACTATTTCAGGAATTCATGAATGTACCCCAATGTCTCCGTGTACATCTGTGTGTGTGTGTGTGGGGGGGGGGGAGGGGGGACTATATGGAATACATAGCTTGTAGATATGTAAATATGTCTAACTGAACACTTTTACGTGTTACGATATTTGATTGTGGTAATAATTTTAGATAATAGAATACAGTATATGTGAACATTTTCAAGGATATCTTGTTCTGAATGGATTAATGAGCTTCAACAAAAGAAAGTCAAGCTATTATGGATTATAGAACAGTCATGAATAACAGAAATAAGCTTATTTGTTGCTGCTTTAATAATGAAGTTCAGGTTTTCCAACCGTTTGCTGTTTTATTAAACATACAGGTGATTTGCAAATATAACTACCCAACTGCAGTATAGTCCATAAAAATATGTTCTGATGTGAGAATAATTTCATGTGCTACTGAATAAAATATTTTTAACACCTTCTTTCTACACAAATCTTCACGTCATAAGGAATTTTACAGTTAACTGTAAATTATTCTAAGGGAATACTTTATGTGCAGTGTTTTCCAATTAGCACCCAATTATGCATAAATGTGCTAAAAAGTAGCTATGAAATTAATTTTAAATGATCTTAAAATACATTCTAATTTGAAAAAAATCAAGTACGAGTAATTACTTGGAATTAGCTTAAGTACTGCAGTTTATGTAGAGGATTTATGTCTGCTTTGTGCCATTTTATCCAGCTTTAATCAAGGGACTGTTGCTGGTGCTTTTTCAGTGGAAGAGACACATTAATGTTCTGAGTGAATGAAGCTGCTTTAAATTTTACAGTCATTGTACTTACAATTCGTAACAGCCACGCAAGAGTGAAGCTACTCGTGGAATAATGAGTCCCATAGTGGAAAGGGGGAACTTGATCATCTTCCCAAGTTTCATGCCGCTCAGAAAAGAAGGCTGCTCTTTTGGGGTTAAGGGCTCCAATAGGCTACAAGAACGAAGGGAGAAGGAATAAAAGAATCAAAATGGTTGTCTTTTAAAAACGTTTTAAAAAACCTGTTCGCACATTTGCTATGAGGTTATCTACTGGTTCTATTGCTGATATTAAAATTACAATTACAGACTATACAAACTGTAAGTTTGTTTTACTACTTTGAGAAATTGAATTCTCGATTTACAAACATTTCTGCATGCATGCACATAACTCCAGAGAGATTGAACAAGTCAGAATATATTTTATTAACTTCCATTTTCATATAGTAACATGCACTCACAAACACACAAACAAGCTAATCCCCTCTTCTGTAAAATATTTTTGGACATCACTCATACCCAAGGTTTCTTGGTTCCATTGATTTCCTGCAAAATCTTTTATATTATAATGCACAAATAAATACTTGTAGGACTGAAGTCTGGCTCAGTAAAATGTCTGCACTTGTTTTGGTCAGACAAATGCAGAAACACATTACTATACTAAATCCATTAGAAACCAGACTGAGAGTTCCACGTATGTTTACATGAACATGTCCCAGTGTCTTGAATGGACAGCACATTGTCTTCCTGGAGGGATGGACCTTGCTACTTAATTCTGGAGAGTATTAGGCACAGGTTGGAGAAAGTCAAGGCTTGGAAACCCCAGAGTCTGCATTGGGGTAGTAACTTGCCATTGAAAGGACTATCTGGCAAGCTTCCTGCTGCTTGTCTAGCTAGGACCACTCTATCCATTGAGGCCATGGGTAAAATGCAATATGAACTCACTTATAGCACGCATTGAAGTTTTAGTCCCATTTGTCAATGCAAAACAGTCAACTTTATACGTGAAAGCTCAGCATAACATCCCAGTAAAACACAAGCAGAATGGAGCTAACACTGACAAATTATAGTAGACGTTGCTGAAGTCCTTCCAAAAACATGTTTCCAATTACAGCTTCCCTTGCAAAAAAATAAACCACCTCAGACTGTATATAAATTATTCCACTATATTTACTAGTTATTTCTGTTTTAGTCATTAGTAAAAGTATTTGTATAAGCACAGAACATTGACAGGTTTTGGCAAGGAGCCTGTTTCAATGCACAAGAACAAAATCATGTATGGTTTGAAGGTTGCATATGACTTTCGATCAGAACTACTGTATTTATTTTGAGTCACATCTTAGTTTATTAGCATAAAACGTTGAATGGAACTTCCTATCAAAATAGATTTTGAAAGTTGTGCATTATTTCAGACTACCAATGGTGCTTTTGTTTTATTTTATTACCACAACAAATCTGAAACTAGTTTGCCTTTGTGTGCTTCTTTTTTGAAATAAAGTGTAGTCTGATAAAACCATGGAACCCCTATTATCCTGCAGTATTAAATGTCAGAACTTTACCACTGCACTTTGATGGATTACATAAGTATTAAGTATTTCACTTCTGATGTTACTTGACACACCTACTGATTGATGTGCTGGATGTGCAGCATTCTACTGATATAAGATGGCTACCAATGACAAGTAATTTTTATGAAACATTGGCATGACATTGGCATACAACTCCTCTTAGACTTCTGAACAGCATCTAGGTATCATCACTTCGACATCAAAGATACTTCACAGACAATGACAATTTTTTAGCAAAGGAAATGCAAGATGCATGTTTTCAGAACAGAGAATTCCAAGAAACAAGTGCTCCACTCAATATTCATATTCCATCAACTCATTTTCGAATTAATTTTATACACTGAAAACAACCTTATTAATCAATTATTTTAACCTGAAGAATGCAAACAACTATTGTGCACATTTTTTTCAACAATCCTTTACAGATAATATTGTTCTTTGGGTGAAACAGAAAATGAATGCTTTGACTTGAGGGGAACATGACACAATTGCAGCATTTCAGCCACAAACTCCACCGTCAATTCACTTTACAGTATATTCTGTGAAGCGCTTTGAGACATCTCAATGACGCGGTAAAGCGCTATATCAAATGCAAGGATGATCATCATTATTATTAGTTAATCACACACTAAGTGTGAGCTGCTGTGTCCTTGCAGTACAAGGTATTCCAATGTTTAACAATCAATATAATTTAAATACAGAATAAGTTTTTAAAATGAAATATGACTAAGTGAGCAGAACTGTAGTCACACTCTGCTCAGTTCAGTTCACTTCAGAAGGGTCTTTGTTTTTAAACAAAGTCCCTTCAAAAGGATATGTGTTTGGAAACGCTGACTTACTTTTTGTAGTATTTTAATGGGAGTATTCTCAGCAATACATTTGAGTTATTCTTTAATACACAGAATGCATTGGAAATGAATACAAAACACTCTATATGCAAATTTCCCTTTGCCTTTTTTATTTGTCTCCTCCTTGTCTGAAGATGCTAACTTACACTGGGGTATAGTTCCCTACTATTTTACTCAAGTGGCCATACTTCATCTTTGAGCCTTTTACAATAAGTATCAGAATGCTCTGACTGTGGAGAAGTATAACAAATGAGCCAGATCCTGCTCTCCCAAATGTCTAGTTTTGCAACAGAGCTCACTGGACAGTGTAGGATCATTGGCTGATTTTTTGATTCCTTGTCCAGGGTCCACTAAGATCAACTGTAGCACTTTTAGTGCTGACCTGGTTAAGATCAACAAGCTCAGCACAGAAAAAGGCATTTACAAATCAATTTAATTTTCTATGCTAGGTACATTTTATTTTAATATAGCAGTGGATAGTAGCCCTCGTGCGCTTCTACCAGAACTATTGTTCAGTATTAGATTGTTCAATCCTAATACTGCATATATTTCTCCTTTCCTCTGTGGCTAGCTGTCAACTGGCAAGCTCATTTCCATCAAAGCCTTCATCTCTTTCTAGCCTGATTCCTCTCCTGTATCTATCTTTATTTTATTTTCTCCCCTGGCCTGCTCCTTTCTTTATCTTTGCTGCCTATCCTCTTTCCACATTGCTTCTATTTCAGTTTGAATTTACGGACCGTGCAGAAGGGCCATGGATCACCTTAATCACAGGCTAAGTTCCAATGACACTATCTCCAACAGACTGCATAACTAATGTTATTATAACTCAGCAACCAACCGTATGAAAAATTGAACACACAAAACCTTTAAAAATTACAGTGCACAGCAGCCATTCTTTTTCAAACAAAGCCACCAGGGCCTGTGGTACAAACAATAGATCCGAATTGGCATTTTCGTGGCACTCATCAGTACCATCAGTTGCACAGCCCTGTGCTACTTAGCTTATTTTACCAGTGTACTTTCTTATTTATCCTGTGCAGTGTTGTGGAAGTACTACGTTGACAGAGATGCCTTATTTCAGATTCAATGTTAAACCGAGGTCCCATCTGGCTGTTCACGTGGATGTTTAAGATTCCAATTCTGAAAACGGGGTGCTCTAAATCAGATAACTCACTTTTGACCAAGTTCTCTGCCTGGGATTTTCGAACAGCAGATTGTAATGAGGTTGTGCAGAATGTTTACAGATTCAGTGAATTGAATTTGATCATACACTACCGGTATCCAAGTCATTCTCCTGAAAATGTCATGGCATACCATGAAGGTCAATAGAAATAGATTTATTTTTACAAAATAATATTACAGTGGCTTGATCTTTGTTCACTATAAAATTGTTTAAAAGGATTTTTTTTTACTCAGAATTGCTGTCTGCAATACAGATTTTACTCCTCTTCTTTGCTTCCTCTCCTAAAGGCTGAGAATCAACACCACAGGCACTGACTAATTGTGGTGCTCCGTCTAAGTTACTTTCATCAGGTATGAGACTAGATGGTGAGCGTCGGCAGGCTACATGACTAAGGGATCATCACAGCTAAGTCCGATTTTGCCCTCACCAGCCATACAACCACATGCACGACTGTCAGAGGTCACTGCCTTTTGCTAGGAACAGGATTGCTAGCTATTTTTACTCCTCTCTAACCCAAGATGCGGGGCCAAATATAGCACCTACTATAACACGTACTCTTGGTGTGACTGACATCAGTTATTTAGTGATGCGAGCAGGGAAGACTTTTGTCTTATGACAGTAGTTAATCTCCACTATGACACTGTGTTCGACACAATGCAAATTCTGCAGTAACATTAGTTAATGTCTATATGATATTTCCAAACAACAGTGGATTGCCTGCTTTTTGGTCAAATGAAGGTCGCCTTCAATAAGTAGTTATTGTTCTCTAGAAAACCTTTGGATATTACTAGGGATATTACTATTTCTTTTTGACGACCATCTTATTTGAGGGTTTATAATCAGACAACCAAAAACCTGGGAGGATGTCAGAAGCTCGGGAGAGAGGATTAAATGAAGGAATTTGCAAAGAATTTCAAATTCTCACTTTAAATTGGTTTCTATAAAAACAACAAAATGACGTCAACTGCCAATAATGCTTAAGAAATGGAAATGTATAAAGTCACCTAAAACCATCTAACACAAGGAGCAAAAAATGCTTTACAAACGTGGTAATGCTGTAGTTGGCTCACTGGGGCAGGAAAACAGCAAATGCGTACTTCATTTTATACAGTTGTTCTCGAATACTTCAGCCAGGACGGCTGACCAGATCTGCAGGCCTGACCTTCATTTGTTCTCATGACAGTGCTTGTTGGAGGGTTAGTTGACAGGTGCTATCCAAATGCTTTTAAATATGTACTCATCAGGCAGACTCCTGTCAATCAATAAGTGCTAGAAATAGTAATTTTTTTAAGCTTGCAAAATGCATCTCAGGAGCCGCTACACTGCCTTCCTTCAATATAGCAGCACAACTGGCAGCGATGAAGTTATATCTTACTTACGGTGCCAAGAGGAAATATTTTCCTTGCTTTTTGGCAAAAAAAAGTATTTTTAAGTGACCAGGTAAAAAACTAACAATTACTCCACATACGTAAGAAATGCTAACTTTCACCAGATGCAACTCCAGATATCTGAAGTATGTGTCCTGAAATAAAATCACAGGGGTTCTGATCACTTAATTCTTAAAATATTTTGAGTT